GACGAGGGTGGCGACAAAGGTGGAACCAGCAATGAAGAGTCGGGCCGTGCACTTTCCAACCGGTGTCATCAACTGACCTCCTGCAGTTCTTATATTGGGTCCCTGCCATGGCATTTTCACCTTCCTGAGTCTTTCGGCTAGCTGTAGGCTTATTATAGAAAAGTGGGAGCCAGTGTCCACAAGTGCCGTCACTTGGTGGCCGTCAATGTGAACGACGAGGTCAGCGCTGATAACGTCGGTTACGTCGGCAGTTGTCTCATTCATCGAATTAGTCGTTGCTGTCGTCTTCTTCGGTATCGATGGCTTCGAGCTGTCACTTGTCTGCAATGGGGGCTGTTCGGAATTTCGAATATTGGCAACCTCACCCCCCGAGGTCGCTGCGTCTAGTTTCCCCGTCGCGGGCTAGGGGACCTGCCCCTGGTGACGTCGGCAAAACTGCGACGATTAGGTGAACTGGGCCGCGCAGGAGATGGAGAACGTGATCTGGGCATTACTGGATTCTGCGGCGGTGTGTTCACATGGGCGTAGTTGTACATGCGTTGATCGTCGTACGCAACGTAATCAGGGTAGCGAGGAAATCTCGAGTACTGAGCGTCGCGATAACGGCAAACTCTGTAGACGTGCCCAGCTTCGCCACAATGAAAGCATACTGGTCGACGGTCAGCGGTACGCCACAAATCGGTTTTCCGACGCTGGTAGGTAAGTGGAGACTCACTATTGGGCCACGTTGTGGGGCGACGTTGTGGGGCATGTTGGTTATACGGCATTCGGCTTGTCGGAGGAATCGGTGAGGTTGCGAAAGTGGTCGGTGCTGACAGTGGCTGTGTTTGCAGGGTTGGTGGTGGTCCAGTCATTGGGGTCTGCTGTGCTGAAGGAGCGACGACGGGGCGTCGGACTGCATCAGCATAAGTAAAATGTCGTCACACACCATTATAGCCGGATGAAGAGAGAGCATGGCGGAACTCATCCCGGACAACATCAGCGACAAAAGACAATGCCGGCGTCGGTTCAGTTGCTGGAATTAAACCAAGCTGCCGAAGCTCCTCCCTCAAAATCTCCCGGATGACTTCCCGCAGCGGCCTGTCGTTGTCGCAGAGGCTCGCCGCAGTCGTGACAGGGCTACTCGCTCGAACGTTGACTGGGTTCTGCTGGCGGTACCGTTGCTGTAGGGCCCGTTCAATAGCTGTGGCGTCTTTGGTGAAGTCAGCTACTGTTGTTGGCGGATTTCGCACAAGCCCAGCAAACAGTTGCTCCTTCACGCCTCGCATTAGATACCGGAGCTTCCTGTCTTCCGGCATCTCGGGATCCGCCCTGCCGAAAAGACGGGTCATGTCCTCGGCGAACATAGCGACGCTCTCGTTTGGTTTTTGAATTCGAGCTTCCAAGAGACGTTGTGCATTCTCCTTTCTGTCAAGACTACTGAAGGTGTCAATCAGCTGGTTGCGGAAGTCATCCCACGTAGCCATGCTTCTTTCCCTGTTAATGTACCACGTCTGGGCGTTGTCTTTCAGGTAGAAGTACACATTCGCGAGCTTGTCTTCTGGGGTGGCCCACTGGTTGTACTTCGTGCAGCGTTCGAAATGGTCCAGCCAGTCTTGTGCATCTTCATAGGTCTCACCATGAAAGCAGTCAGGAATCATGGGATTCTGAAGTGTCATGTGCGATGTAGCTGCATTGGCCATGGTGGTTGAAGGAGGCAAGCGATTGCTGGCAGTTTCTGGAAAGGGATTGAGCTCGGGAGCTAGGCCTCGCAGACGGCGGCTGGAACGGTGGACTGGTGTGTCCACGGGTGGTAGTGGTTCCGGGCTTGAATGTCGGGTCCGCGAAGGGGTGCCAAGCATGAAGACGTACCCAGCACCTCCACCACTGTGACGACGCGAGATTGACGAGCACGCAAAGCGCCTCAAACAAATACGATTTATCGATCGCAGGAAACAGACTGCAACGACTTCTTCGTCTTTTTCCCTCGGCCAAAGACACTCGCGCTCCTTCGTTGTCCTCACCACTGGCACATACGCGCGTCAATATCCATGATAATTTTGCCTGTCGGGTCGGTATACCCATCTATATCTTCTATGTGTGCATTCAAATCTCCTAGTATAATTATCTCGCACCCTGCTCCTAACTCCTCAATGTACTTTGACAACCATACGAGGCAGCGCCACGGTGCGGAGAAAAGGGCGGGCCATGCCCATCTCTGGAAACACGCTGTCCATGCGATTTGGGACGGTTGGAGAGAAACCAGCCATGCGCCCTCCATCTCGGAAGCCATGGCTAGCTACAACGACATGGCTCTCACGCGGTAATGTTAAGGCAATCGCTCCTGATTCACGCACATGCTTCCGTATTTTTAGGGAACAAGCAGCGTGCGAGTCCCGAAGACGGCATGGATGAAGGTGTGCGGCTCGGCAGCTTCGTCGAGTGGCCTTCGAGAAGTGTACAGCGCGGCAGACCCGGTAATGGACGTGGCTAATTCTCAAAACCTAGACCGTCACCACCGTGCTCTTGACCCTTTAGTAACGTTGCTCTTGACGGGGCGACTTGACAGTGTACGGTGGCTGTCAAGATGCGTACGGTTCAGCGCGAATAGAATAGAAATTCGCACCAAGGATTTCCTCAAGCATCCTTGGTGCGAAAAGTGGGCACGTGCATAATAACTCGATGAAACAGATATATCGCCTGCACCTCAGCCCTCGATTTAACAGTGCACGCTAAGCTCTGAACACTCAGGACTATGGCTTTATTTTTTCTTGCTTTCTTTTTTCGCACCCGACATCGGCATGTTTCCATGGGTGGCCTAGGCTGTCTTAATACAACATTTCCAAGCAGGAAGAAAATCACCTTTAGGGTACCGTTAAACCCAGCAATCAGTCCTCTAAGGTCATTGACTGCATCACTAAATCTGTGTGATATTCATATATTTACAAGGACTCGCATCTTCTGATGGCAGCCATTTAGGTCACATAATTGTAGTTGTTTTTACTTTTGCAAAAACTAAAATCATACTTTGAAGGCAAATTAAAAAACGAACCTGTGTTCAGAATTCATTACCTGCACTGGTCTGCTTAGTCTTGTATGAAACGGATCAAGCAGTCATTTAGGGTTCAGTAGTCTACTACGATGTTCAAGAGGATTTAAAAAAGTCTAATGCACTTTACTAAATGACTAAACCATGCAACAGTATAAGTTCTCAACGATAAATTTCGAAGAGGTGAGGGGGTGTCCTCACCATCCTGAGCACGAGGATTTACACCACTGCTACACCACTGCGTCTTGCGTGCAGCATTTTCTGATTTCACGCATGATGCCGTGCGTGCAACATTACTCAACTGAGTATCACTGCTAATATTGTCTTGAAGAAACACGCACATATATTCCAGTTCTGTCAGGAGCAACATGGCATCGCGTGTTCACTTTGAGTAGAATAAGTCTTGCGTGAAGTCACTGAGTATATTCACCTTCCTACCTAACGAACACAACCATGACACGAAACGAGACTGATGAAGCCATGAAGAGAGTTAGCGAGCACATGGCGACACTCGCCATGCATTACATTGAGAATCACACTGTTTACCATGTCGTTTGTTTTGTTCAAAAACCCCCGAGAACTTGATATCAGTTCTTATATTGTCTTGAAGAAACACACATATTACAGTTCCATCAGGAGAACCATGGCATTGTGTGTTCCCCTAGAATAAAAGTGGTGTCTTGCGTGAAGTGACAGAACACATACACCTTTGTACGGAGCGAACATACCCATGATAAAACAAGAGAGATGAAGTTCCGGTGGGCACGAAGAGAGTATGCGAGCACATGGGGATTCTCTCCGCACATTACATTCACAGAAACCATTAATGACTAGAAATTACTTCTAGTATCCGCTTGAAGAAACACACACATATTCCAGTTCAGGCGAACGTAACACCGCATCGACGTGGATAGATCAGTCTTGTCTCCACGCACGCTAGTAATGACAGCCTGGAAGGATAAGGGCCACCGCAGCTCAATGTTGTCCGCATTCAGCCTACCTTTGCAGCACTATAAAATTTTTTCCAGTATCTCTAAGGGAAATGTAGCTCGCTTTTCACACCCCCTCATTCTAGCCACTCTAGCAGCACTGCTAAACCAGCTGTGCGCCTGTCACTGGCGATGACTAGAGGGTGTGCATTATACCAGTGCGAATGCTTGCAGCTGTTTCATTTGAAAAGAATAGTCCACTCGCGCACAACTTCTTCAACACAATTGGATTTCGACCTGTAGGTGGTTCCGGGGCCCTTTAAAGAATGTGCACGATGAACTTGACATTACAGCAGACTACATCTTGGTAAGGTGCTTAGCCTCCTCACCTTTCCTGTGCAGAACACTATGAAGAGCTCTCCCCGAAATACAGGGCTTAGAGTTACTCAGCGGTCCTCGCACCTGTATCATCTCTATGTTATATGCAATATTGTAACTCTGCATGATGCTGTGAGCCCTATTTTTTAATTATGAGTTCTGCTGAATACCATGGTCAAGAAAAAAGGTGGCCAGATAGTATAGTGGTTAGGATGTTCGTGTTTGTTTCAAGGATACGTGGGTTCGATTCTCACTTAGTGTGAACATTTTTTGGCGAATTTTTGTTTTCCTCGGTATTCATTTTCTTACCCATGAGGCCACACTGGAGAAATAAGCGCATGTGTTCTGGGAGCAATGCAGAAGAGGATGTAGAATATGTGTTATGGTGATCACCATTTCATTTCCCACAGCTTCTTTTCGGACCTTCGCATCCCTCGAGTCGAATCAATACGAGTTTATCGGCGTAAGGTTTGGGCTGGAGCAATGCATTAATTAGGAGTAATGCCACACACCTCTTGAGTTATAGTAGTATGATTATGAAGATGCCCTTAATAATACTCTGCCCCGTGACACTTGGAACAGTTATGTTATCAAGGCTAGGAAGCCACACTGTGTCGGCATGCCAGAACATTGACAGTAGAGCACGTGAACATACCACGACGACGTGAGTTCAGAGAGCCTTGGTGCTGCCGCAACAGCGCCCCTTTCACACCATCTTTATCTCAGCTGAAAGTGACGTTTCTTTTAAGAAATAAAACAGTATAACTACTATAAATACCCAGAACCTCCTGCTGTAAATATCAGACACTCTTATAGTACAGTACAGTGTTTCAAGAAAAAGGGTGCTGTGACAGCAGAAATACAGGTTAGGCTTCAACTAGTGTTTCTGTCTTCTGTTCCTTCCACACCTTTGTTGGTGGACCTGCAAAAGATGGAACAAGAACCAATGCCAATTTTTTTTTTACTCAGCTCACTGGATGTTTACAAACTTATTGAAAAGTGAACAAGTCAAGGTTTCACTCAGCTAGGCTTGTATTAGAGGGGTACTGACAGCTCTTTTCGAAGGCGAGTTTACTGTGCCATACAAATCTCCTGTATAGAGACACTGCTCTGAGCGAGCGTGACCCAAAGCAAATGCTGACAAGATGTTGTATTTTATTATTAACGTTAATTTTCTTGTGACAACCTACAGACATCGACACTAACTTGACGTCAGGCTACAGTGCTAATCCTGGTAACTTCATACAGCAGTCTAGCTAGTTGTGATCAACGTTACTAGAACCAAGTCAGTTTCGCAGCTCCGCGCGCGCCGGCACAAGCGGCTGGCGCATTAACTAATGGCGCTGCTGTTCCGTTTTGCTTCACGCGCCACGTCGCGCGTATAGCGACCGCGTGTTGCTGCTCAGACACGACAACATGTTTTCGGCACTCGCTTGCTTTTTTGCGCCATTGTTTAGTAGTAATCTGTCGTCTCTTACAAAAGAGCTTTAAGATGTGACAAGTGACGCCAATGAACAATGCCTTCTTGTTTTGCGCGGGGCTGCAAAAGCGGCTAGAGAAATGACACCGATCACCATTTCTTAGAACCAGCCCGGGATCCCGATGAGTTTAAAAAGTGGGAACAGATGCTGCGTTGCAAGGATAGGCGGCTCACTCACAAGTCCAAGGTATGTGAGCGACATATTGAGGTTGACGATATTGTCAAATATTATAAGCACGTTATAAATGAAAATTAAGTACTTCTACCTCATGGAAAATGGGCGCTAGCGCCAGGTGCATTGCCTCGCCTTTTTCCGGGTCTGCCAGAGCGCATCTCGAAGCCAAAAGTGACAACAAGGACAAGGAGGTCGCCAAAAAAACGGGCAGGGATGACATGCCTCATGGCAGAAGATGACAGAGGGCCGTCATCGAGTCGGTCGAGTGATTCTTGTGACGACGCATCTCCGAGTATCTAAGACGGCACGTCAGCTGCACCGTTCGCGCTCAATGAAGCGATGAACGTCTCATTGCCTTCTGCGCATTGGCGGCAAGAATTAATCGATGACGCCATGTCAGGGATGACGTGCGGTGTTTTTTACTACAGAAATCTTGTAGTAGGAGAACTGCTAGTACAAAAAACTGTTATTGTAGAACGAGATGGCAGCTGCACAATTAACGGCTACAACAAAGTGCACAAGCAGCTGTTGCGAACTCTGACCACTGTTGACCATTTGGAAAGTGTATTAAAGGAGATAGACAGCCTGAACATCTGTGGAGGCATACCACCAGTCAAGAATGTGCCCACAATCATTACTGTTCATCACAAACACTGCACAGTGTTTACAAAGCAGCCCATTTGCTTTCATTGATTGATTTTTGGGGTTTAACGTCCCAAAACCACCATATGATTATGAGAGACGCCGTAGTGGAGGGCTCCGGAAATTTTGACCACCTGGGGTTCTTTAACGTGCACCCAAATCTGAGTACACGGGCCTACAACACTTCCGCCTCCATCGGAAATGCAGCCGCCGCAGCCGGGAATCGAACCCGCGACCTGCGGGTCAGTAGCCGAGTACCTTAGCCACTAGAGCCCATTTGCTTTCGCTGCCTGTGTCTACGGAGACAATTGCGAGCCAGAAAGCCTGCAAAGGCGGTGAAAACTAAAACACAAAAGGTTCGCAACCTCTCAAAGAGATTTGCCCGTGCGGCTGCCGCAAAAAGGAAGAAAAATGAGGAGATCCTGGCTCTTAAGCAAAAGCTTTCCACAGTTTCGAATGAGGAAATCGAAGATGCCCTTTTTGAGCTTCCTCCTTTGCAAAGGCTGTCATTCATGACATCACTGAAGCAGCTGAAAGTGAAAGCAGCCTGTGGCATGCGCTAAAGGCCGACTGGATTTTTAATTGCCTAATGCTGCGAATTGCAAGCCCACAAGCATATAAACTGTTAAGTGACATGAAGATGTTACCTCTTCCTTCGATGAGCCGCCTGACTCAAATACTAAGGTATACCATGCAAATACGGCTTTAATCCTATTTGTTTGGAGGCTATCGCCAAGCAGTTCGACAAGAAGACTGACAATCAAAGATTCGGCTCACTAATTCTCGATACAATTAAGTTGCGACAGGCCTACGACTTCAATAAGTCAAGCTATAAAATTGATGGCTTTGTTGACTATGACGGGCTGTTAAGGGGGGATGCTACACCTTCCAAAAACTCTTATTTTTGCGAGTACCTCAGTCAAATTTGGAGAGCCTATGTAGATTTTACTGCTGATTTCAAAAATCTAATTCTTTTTTTGCTGTGACAATTAGTTTTAAATATATAATGAACTGCGACTTTTCCAATTAAGGCCTAATTAGCTAATTAACTGTAACTTGGATATTGATGTGCAACCTATAGAACCAATTCGGTATGTTCACAGTGTGCAATAAAGTATAAATCATTGTTCTGGGCTATTTCGAAGCAAAGTTGTGGGATGTTGAATATGACATGAAAAATTTCCCCATCTACACTTGAAACAAGAGATCCATTTAGAGAATTTTCTCCAAAAATTATTACAATAAAACTTACTTTACGACACATCCCCTGCATTTATCTTCGAAACAAAAAAGAAATCGTAATGATAACCCAGATAGAACAAGAGATATTGCTCCGGCATAATGGGAAGCACATGAAAATTGTCGTTTTGAGAAATCGAGAAAAAACGTGGGCACACATTTTTATTGCAGAAGATGCAACAAGACAACCTCAAAACGCACCAGAAGCATAGTCTGAATGCATTCTGTGCTCATGCCTCCTCTTCACTAGCTTCCGGAGTTCCAATGAGGCTGTTCTTTTCTTGTTGGAGACAATGCTGCGACGGTGGTCTTTTTCTCTCGCTCTCCTGGCACCAGTACTTGTCGCATTCATGTCCATTTCACCTAAGATTGCCGTTGCAGAATTCAAATTGCCCGTGTTGAAGCGCAGCACTGCTTCTGCAACAGCTGCTTCAACAGCGAACAGGGACGCATGGTGCTCCTTGGGGGCCAAACTCCAGATTACCGAATGTAGGCTCTCGTTGGAGTTCTGCGTTTTGCCGCGTTCGCACCTCTGAAGCAGGGCTCTTTCCGAAAGCCGGGTATAAACCGGTAGTAATGCCTCTGCCACGTCTTTCGGTAGATTGTAGGCATGCCTGGGGTCGGGCTCACCCTTTGCTTTTGCGGCATTGTGCCGACACCATGAAGTTTCACCAGCTGGGCACAGACTGTGGTCCGAGCATTCATCAGTGGAGGTGACGTGGCGGTATGTGGCCATCACAGCCTTTTGCATCTCGCCCACATCACCTTCATGCGATTTCAGAGCCCGGCCATAATATGTGCTCAGCCTGGTGATCAGCTCACCTGTGAGCCTGCCTTTCCCACCAAGGCCTCTTTTCCCATCGCACTTTTGTTTCTGCACCAGGTTTCTCAATGCGGTGCCCATCCGTTTCTGTACATGATTAATACAGTCTTCCTTCTGCACGTCAATGTAACCATACACCTTGGCGTCTTGTATGGCGCAAAATGTCCTAGAGTCTCCATCAGACAGCATAGTTGTGTAGCGCAGGCCATGGCGTTCAAGCGACCTCTGAAATAGAATTAGAGCCGCCTCCACTTCCATTTGCCCCGCTTTGCTGTTCGTATTTTTTTGGCATTTGTGGTTAGCCTTCCATTCTTGATAGCCCTCACTACTAGGCTTTGGGCCCACCTCGCAGCCTAGGCAAAAGTTGGAAAGAACGACGTAGTCCAACACGTAGCCATTAAATAATTCGATAACTGTGCCCACGCCGATGTGGGAGGAATGGCCTCGCGTCTTCCACGTGCCGTCGTAGCTAACGGCAATATTGCCCCGGTGGCCGAAGCACAAGTCATCATAAATTGTTCTAACCTTTTCCGCACATTCGCTCATAGCGGACTCAGCCGCTCGCGTTGCAGCGGGTGCCAGCGTGTTCTTCAAATGCCGCTGAAACGTCTTGTGGTGCATACCGCGGTGTGAGATGCCCATTGTTGCGAAAATATCGTTCATTTTCGTTTGGCCGTTGCCGGTAGCCACCATCGCCCTCGAAGCGAGAAGATCTACTTCAAACGGATTGCACGTTTTCGTGCCGTTCGCGCGGGGCGAAGTCCATTCATTCGCGATCTCGCTGCACCTTTCACACTGCACTAGCACTTTCACGGCAAGTCCGTAGTCCCGATACCCTCTGACGATCGTAGCCGGTCCGTGGCAGGCTTTGCAACACAAGGCACCCATTATCGCGTTTAGGATATCTAGATGCATAAGCAGATAAGGAGCAGCGTGGTCCGAGTCCTGTGCGGTTGCCTCGCTACAACTCGCGGTGAAAAAGTCAATTTTCCGTGCAGTTGCTGGCGCCGATGAAAGCCGGTCGAGCGTCGCTTTCTCCCAGGCATGATTTTCTTCAACTTCGGCGTTTGTCACCACCTTGGCGTCGATTCGTAGTCGTCCGGAGTTCGCTTCACCGTCATCGTCGTCGGAGGCAACGCGCTCGGTCGCACCATCGCTGAACGGCCGCGGAGCGTCGACACATCGTTCGTCGGAGTCAACCAAGGGCTCTGATGACTTCGTAGACTTTCTCCCACGACCTTTGCGTTTCCTGCGACCAAATGCGTGCACGGTCCGATACTTTTTTGCGTTTCCAGGCATGGCGATACGATCAGAAGCTTCAGAGTGCTCTGCCGATTTCGAGGCGTCACAGCGGTAACCCTTTCAAAATGGCGTCGGGTCGCGTATGCAGGCGCAAGCCGCGAGCTTCCAGCCAACCGGAAAGCGCCATTTCAGTCACGTGCGCCGTTTAGCCAATGGCAGTGAGCGCGGCTCTTCGTCTTTGAGGCCCCGTTTTTCGAGCCGGGGAAACGCTCAATGTTGCTTACTGAATAAAAAAAACAGCTGAAAACGCGTTCTTTCAAA